TTTTTTTTTTTTTTTTTTTTTTGGAGTTAATGAATGTGAAGAAGAAATATTTAGGCAGTGATTTACACGAATATTTTAGTTTATTGTAAGCAACACGTAACACGGATACAGAAGCTCGTGCGATATTCAGCCAGTAGTCGATCTGATTAATATTAATTTCTAATTATAAATTGCGATCGTTTCAATATTGCATCGATTTATTTACCGCGATCAAACATCGAAAGTTCGACCATCTTCCGACCGAATCGATTCCTCGATTCCTCATTTTTTTCGACGTTCGCGCGAACATTACAAACACCGTGCGTTTTTTACCAATGTATTACGCAATGTACGTTCAATTATCGTCGTTCGATTAGCAAGCTTTGCTACCTAATCGTATTTTATCATAGCTGCCATATACGACACGAGCTTGCAATAATGGCACAGAAATCGGTAACCTTTTTCTAAAATTACACGGCGATTGCTATCAAGTGCAAGTTTCTCGATCCCCGAAACTAGTTCCCTTACCATGTTTCGCTTTTATCGTATTACCCTGAAAGCCAGGCACCTCAAATCAATTCAAGCACACTGGCAAGCGTGTTTCCGTCGTACGTGACTGTTTATTCAATTGTACAGAAGCTTCCCAAACGTTTGATCATGCTAAAATTAAGACTACGTTCTCGGTAAAATGGTCGCTCGGCTAAATGGCTGGAAGAGTCTGTTATTACGCTCGTAATAACTCTCGATCGCCTGATTTCAGGGTAGGAGATAATTCCGCCGGATGATTTACAGCGAAGATATTTAACTAAATGTGCTCTTCGATGATCTGACATGGGTAACAAGTGTCTCTGGCAAGCTCTTAGTTGAACTGATCATCCACGCGCGTCCAATACAATATATAAACTCGTTGCTGCTTTCTCACCATGTGCACCATCACCATTCAGATATTCGTGAACGGAACAGATCTTGAATTTTGAACATCTCTGGCGTTAATTCGTTAATCGATCTACACAAGCCAGAGAGATTTCTCAAAGATGGAAGACAAGTGTCTTCCTAGCCTTTGTTCTTTCGCGAACTTTCATCGCTCGCAATTGGATCCAAGAGGTTCCATATGCCATTTCATTTGCGTCAAAATCCAGTCCTGCCCGAATCATTTTCGTGTCGGATACACCCTGGTAATGCGAAATATGTGATAATGCCAGTAATACTAATTGCTTGGATGACCTTTGCGTGATTCGACCACGGAGACTAAGTCGGCGCGTTTATTGTATCGTTGCAGAATTTTCTGCGGCAACGATTTTATACGAGGTATTCGAGACCCGTCCGCCACGGAAATGCGATTACTCGTCGCAGCCATTAAAAGCGGAATCGTACAGGCAGGTTTGCGTCTCATCGAATATTTTATGGCTGCTTAATCCACCAATTAGTCGTGGAATGTCGAGGCAGCGAAACTCGAGGAATTTTGTGCCGATAGTTCTTCTTAACTTCTTTCGTTCAAATGACAATTTAGTGTGGCTAGCATGAATTATATAAGTGTATTTCGCTTCTCTCTTTCTCTCTTTCTCCCGTTAGAATTAATTACGATAGCAGCCTATAAAATCGACGTTCGGCTTTAGTTCGATACCGCATTACGTGGTTGCGACTTCGTGGCGTGGATGATCGTCGACGGGATATAATTGTCATTTTGGGCGAACGTAGTTGAGTAGTTGCCGTAGTATAATTACTTAGTTACGTAGTTACGTGGGCGCTTGGTAAATAGTATTAACGTAAGCGAGCACGAGCGCGGCCGATCACGGAAATTCGAGAAACGTGATCGTCTTGGGAGCGCGATCCCCGAAGTACGAAGGACACTCTTTCTAATTTTCGATCGACTTTGCCGACTTCAAGGTATCCTGCTTTCAAGCAGAGAGGAAGGTATTTAAATATCAAGGAAGTTACAATTAATCGATACAATTAGTATTCGCATTCAATTAACGTAATTCGTTCGTAAAATAAATATATTCGCAAAATCGTCCTACAGGTTATAACAGCCGGTGTTCTCAACATCGACTCGCTGTTGGGTTAGTTGTCGTCGACCGAAAATATACGTATAACAAGAAGTAATTTCACGGTAAAATACAATTTACGCAGAAAGGATTCGTGCTCGTAAAGTTGAGATACGCGTTTTCATAGTAATGTTTTTCCGCTTTTCCTATTTTTTTTCTTTTCTTTTTTTTTTCTTCTTTTAAACAACTTTCCCCTTTATTTCTCTCTCTCCCCCTCCCCTTTTTTCATGCGTTAGAATGCAAAGAATTGCAGGTTTTAACGCGCATGATTTTTACAGAATGGACGGCCACCCTTCGCGTAGAAACTTTGGCCCTCGAGATTCTTCTTGCACATCTGCAACATAACACACCAGCACAAAGAGTGACGATTAAAATACGCTTCTTTGGATTTCTCCGCTAGAGATCGATCGGTTTATTTCGAGAAACATTCTTGCACTAATTGCGTACCGTGCAGTTGAAACACTGGCTGTGGTAATTATTGTTCAGGGCCTCCACCCAGCGATCTCCAGCTTCGACTGGGAATCCACACGCGAAACATTTCGTCGTGAACAGCTCGTTCCAATCTGTAAAGTGTAACAATCAGCGAACGGGAATTCAACGTTTTTTCTTTGGCGAATCTTAAGTCGAATTAAGAATGTTGGACCAACCTGCTTCGCAATAGGGCAATCCTTCTTCGAGGAAGAATGGGCTGTTGCCGAATAATTTGCCGCAATAGGAACATTTGAAGCATTCAGGGTGGAAATGCTTTCCAATTGCGTTCAGACAATCCTGCGTTTAGAGTCACCGATGAAACGACAAGTTTCTAGGATAGACAGTTTGTCAATTTCGAGAGGAAACTTACGCCTTTGATCTTGTTGTTGCATTTGTTGCAAGACGGAGCGATGAAACGTTCGAAGCAGTACTCGCAGTAGAGTTGTCCCTTTTCCTCTACGAATCCAATGTCTTGGAGAGGCCGGCGACATTGCGTGTTCACGCACACGAAATGATCGGGGCACCAGATTTGTCCCAAAGCGGTGATGAACGGCCCCCTAAATAGTATGTGATCGCGGCGATTAACCAGAATTTTTCAAACGGTTCAAGCTGGTACTTTGATGGGAAAAAGCAAGACGTAGCACAGCAAAAACAACGAACCTTATGCACTCTTTGTCGTTTTTACAGCACATTGGTTTTATGATGAGACCGTTTGACTTGTGATTAGTATTCTCTTCGCTAGCTGTTAACATCGTGCAAACAAGTTTAACATTGTTAATCACGTCAGAACAGGATAACCAATTCAAGTTACTATTATTATTATCATCAAAGTAAAAAACTTCGTCAAACGATATGCTCGTAAAATGATACGTTTTT